CACCATAGGCCTCAGTGTTGTACTCTTGCACATGCACAACTAATGTTCCAGGAGATGAAGAGAACAGCAACGTAGAGATGGCCGAGGCCACGAGGGACAGCCTGCGTTAAGTAAAACGCTCTTCCCTGCACTCCGCAGCCACTGGAAGCACAGTGGGTCTGTGCAACATATGCAGAGACTTCCAAAATTGACAGATCTGATTTAAACCTGCAGAAGTACTGAAGATAACATCTTCCCATGATGTGTAAATGCGCACTCCGTCCTCATCAGACATTTTTAACACGTCGTTTGATGCTGTACTGGAGCACATTCTTGGGCCATGGGCCAGTGGAATGCTGGGCTCCACGATACCTGCATTGTATGTCTGTATATTTTCAAGTTTGGCATTTATATAAATCTAGTATTCCTGAACCAACTTTGCTGGAGTGCTGTAAACCATTTCAGAGGGACAATCCTTCTTAAAGGAGTAAATGTTGAAATTGCCCCCCCCCACCCCACCCCCCTAAGAAAATGATGAGAAGATCCTATGGTAAAGAATAGTAATTGGAAGTACCTATTTTATACCTATACGGGGAGTAAGCACAACCCTCTAAGTATATGGGTGCAGGCAGGAGCTACAAAAGACACAATAGTTGTGCTAAAATTATCAGAGGAAGGGGAGATAGAATAATATGTATCCCCAAACAGCAAAAGATCCTATCTGTGTCTATAATAAAGCTTATAACCAGTGGAGCTGGGCTAGTGGAGGAATTGTAAAATATTAGAGAAAATTCCCAGCGAAAAAAATCCTCAAAACTAGTCCCTAATCTCCTGGAAACACCTTCGAGGGTGTTCTAAGCTAAGTCTAAATCTTAGAGTAGCCTGCCTGATCTGCCATAACCAATACTGGTTAGGAGTAGCACTGAAAAATAATAATAAGTGGGTCTAAAAGCCCATAGTGCAACAAAGTGTCCCTTAGTACATAAGTGAAGTGAAAAAGATAGACGAGCTATCGCCTGACGCGCGTTTCGGTGTGTGATAACACCTTCGTCAGGGGCTGAGCAATTGCCCTCGATAAAAGCCGTGACTTTTAAATGACCTTTAACCAATCGGAAGTGGGATCCCCCTATCGTCATTGATGACGTATCGGGATGATCCCGCGTCACGTGTGACGTACCATGTCACATGACCGAGGATGGCAGCAAGGAGGAGTCAGTAGGGAAAAACATCATATGATTGACAGGATACCTGTCTATGTCCGCCGTAAATTGGCAGGAGAGTGTGGCGAATCCCTTAAGGAGCTCCTTGCAATTGTAAATAGTGTCCTCACTTCAAAAGAGGGTTATGAACCAAAGAAAGTTATATGAGATGGACTTAATCCAAACAAGTTTAATTGAGCTAACAGATATCACAATATATATGGAAAGTCTGCATAGAAACAAAAGGAAAGAAGATCTATGCCAACCTTTTAAGGCACTGTGCACTACTCATAATCTATCATATTGTTATATACCATATTATAATGATTATATAACATATCAAAACGGCTCATCCATAATTAAAGTGACAGTGTACTCATTTGGATTATTTAGTTATCTGTATAAGAAGAATATATTTGTCCCTTGTTGGAGCCAGTTTACACAAAGTTTGTCTATACTCTCAACCATTAAGGTAAATAAAGACAAGCTCCAAAGTGGGAACTATTTCATCTCATACATAATTTATTAGAAGTTCCATGGACATGAACTCTCAAAAGAGACTGTAAATTCTGTCTTGCTATTTATATTGAATAGTACAAAAAGAAATGGTTAACGGTTGATTTAAAAGATAAATGCTCAATTATAAGGAAAAAGTGCTATAAGTGAAAATGAATTATTTACAAAAAAAATTGGGCCTAGATTATAAAATGACCATGTTATTGGCAGAACTTCTCGAAGAAAATGATAGAAGTGAACAAGCAGTGTACCCTCTCACCAATTTAAAGAAAAAGAGTCAATATTGTCCAAAATTTGTAGACTCCAAATATATTGAGACTTTTGTTGAATTGGTGAGCAATGAGATTGATAAAATCACTATATCCGATTTAGACTTGAAACCCAACTCTAACCTATCCGCAGCAGAAGTAAGGGCTCTAAAATCCCTAAGAGATAATAAGGAAATCACAATAAAACCATCCGATAAGGGAGGTAATGTCGTGATCATGGACACTTCAAACTACGTTGAAATGACAAAGAAAATATTAACTGATGAGAGTACTTATAAGGTCATTCAACATGACCCCACTACAAAATTTCTAGATGAATTAAAAACGATTTTACTAAAAGGATTGAATGATAACCTCATTTCCAAAAATGAATATGACTACATCTTAGGTGACAGTCCACATATTTCAACCTTTTACAGTCTACCTAAGATACACAAACAGCATAACATTCTAACTGGGAGACCTATAGTCTCCGGTAATAATAACTTGACCCAGAATGCAAGTATCTACTTGGATCATATTTTGAAACCCTTGGTCACCCGGCTCCCTCCCTACCTGAGAGACACAAAGCAAACCCTGGCAGAATTGACCAAAATTCATATGCCACCACATTCTATGCTTTGTAGTCTCGATGTAGAGTCTCTCTACAGTTCTATCCCTCACTCTTTAGGCCTAAAACATACTAGATACTTTCTACAAAAAAGAGGTACCCATTTAGACCAGCATAGTGACTTCACTGTACAATTACTCAAGTTCATTCTGACACATAATTTCTTTCTGTTCGATGGAGTATATTACCACCAGGTGCAGGGTACGGCCATGGGGACATCTTGTGCTCCCTCTTATGCCAACCTACACCTGGGATGGTGGGAAGAGAAAATAGTCTTCTCAGATCCTCAAAACGATCTAAGTCAGTGCTTCTATTACTGGAAAAGGTATATAGATGACATTGTAATCATATGGACAGGCACTTCTGAACAGTTTTTACAATTTGTACAGAAACTCAACCTGAATGACCTGAATCTCAGATTGACTACAGAAGTAGGAACCCCCACTCTAACTTTTCTAGACCTCATTCTTATCCCGAATCCTAATGGGAGTATAAAAACAAACCTATTTAGGAAAAGTACAGCTACAAATAGCTTACTTAATTGGAAGAGCTACCATCCTATCCCCCAAAAGAAAGGGATCCCTGTCGGCCAATACAGACACTGAGGACTTTAAACTAAAGGCCAGAGATTTACGTTTTATGTGTAGGTCTAAAGGGTACCCAAATAAATGTTTGAAGAGGGCTTCCCATAGAGCCCTTTTAGCAGACAGAGAGAGCCTAATAAGAGAAGAATCCTTACCATATGGGAAAATGAAAGAGCCAGACAATAAACAGCTCAGATGTGTAGCTACATATGATGCCGGATGGAATTGTGTAAGATCCATTATGCATAGATTCTGGCCTTTGCTGAAACAGGACGAGAAATTGAGGGACATTCTTCCATCACAAGTATCCCTAGTGGCAAGGAGAGGCATGAACCTTAAGGATTCTCTAGTACATAGCCATTTTCAGAGGACTGCAGCACCAACACATTGGCTTTCTAACAACCTTAAAGGCACCTATAAATGTGGTAGATGCAAGGCATGTGACTTTATAAGAAAGGATTCTAAAACATTTACAAACAGCTCCAAAAATTTGCAGTTTGACACCCCCTCGTTCTTCAATTGTAGCTCTAAGGGCTTGGTTTACCTGATTACCTGCCAATGTCCAATGCAGTATGTGGGAAAAACATTTCGCCCCTTTAGAAGAAGGATTCTAGAACATGTCAATGCAGTAAAAACAACAAGACATATAGAGACTCCGGTCTCTAGACATGTCAAAACTGTACGTAGGGGTGACCCCACTGTTCTAAGGTTTCAAGGCATAGAACTCATTAAACAGGACCAAAGGAAAGGTAATTGGGACCAACGCATTAGGAAGAGGGAATGCTACTGGATTTACCGTCTAAAAACTCTGTCACCTAATGGATTGAACGAAGGTTTTACCTACTCTCCGTTTATTACATGATCTTTAAAAACATATACATTTTGACAATTTGTAAATAGCAAAAAAAAATTGTAAATAATTCATTTTCAGTTATAGCACTTTTTCCTTATAATTGAGCATTTATCTTTTAAATCAACCGTTAACCATTTCTCTTTGTACTATTCAATATAAATAGCAAGACAGAATTTACAGTCTCTTTTGAGAGTTCATGTCCATGGAACTTCTAATAAATTATGTATGAGATGAAATAGTTCCCACTTTGGAGCTTGTCTCTATTTACCTTAATGGTTGAGAGTATAGACAAACTTTGTGTAAACTGGCTCCAACAAGGGACAAATATATTCTTCTTATACAGATAACTAAATAATCCAAATGAGTACACTGTCACTTTAATTATGGA